GTCCTCCTCGGGCGTCTTGGACGAGACTCAGGGTGCAGTGGATTTGTGTGGAATTTGTAAATGCAATACTCTGCTTTAAGTAAACCTCATCGTATGGGAAGGGAGAGTTGTTGCTTTAAAAACAGTAGCAGTCGAGGTGGACGACCTGCCAAGGACATACTATGTATTGCTTGGACAGTTTAGTCTCCTTAGGACATTAACACTGGTTATAGCCCTCGCAGAAGTTTTGAATTGTGCAACTCTGAACACGCCTTATCCATTTATCTTCGTACCTATGCGCCGGTGTAGGGGTAGCTCCCACTTTTGGCGTACGGAAGGTTTAGGCAATTACCGGCATGGATGACACGAATGAAGTATTTCTGAGTAATTTGCTTATAATTAATGGGGCTTCTACTATAAGAAGACTAAATGTATCTTCTGAACTTTGTGTAGATATTTTGGTCATGGAGACTCTATTCCGTCCAAAACATCTGTCGTCTCCTAGATAGTAAGCAGATGTCTAGACTGACTCCTCAAATCACGAAGGGATCCTCAAATATTGCAACTCGTTTGGTGAATCTCTTCTAGTAGACTCAGTCGGTTTCGTTCCTCTTCTGACAATAGTATTGAAGTCTTTGCGAATTTGGTGGCTCACCTTTACAAATGTTAATTTAATGAATCGCTTAACCACTGCTAACGGTAGCATTGCCGCCTTCTACTCCGCCTTTCCTTGCTACGAAATGTTAAAAATAACTTAACGCACACATGTCAACTTTAGTTTTGCGACCCGCCCCCTGCCTAACTGGTCAGCTAACCAGTTAACCACTCAATACATCCTCTCCTTTTTCCCTCCTATAGCAAGACGTGGACTTGAATTTAAATGACTTTCTTGCTGAGGCCTCAATAATGAAGAATCTACAGCACAAAAACCTAGTTCGACTTCTTGGTAAGTTGGAGCTATCCCTTTTAAATCCTCACTCACACGGCTATTTCGATTGTCTCCTTGATACTATGACTTCGGTTCGACGTCTATACGCACGGGAATTTTGAAGCACCACTTTAACTGACACCTATTTAACCGTCACTCCGCGTTTCCCTTCTTTCAGAACTTGTCAAATTTTCAACTTCACTGCCCTGCTGGTGAAAAAGTGATGACATGAAAGTATATGTAATTCAGCCTTCATAGTCCTCTTTTAACTTTATTGGAAAACTAATCGACGTAGCAGTGCTTTTCTCTAACTTCTCGCGACCTGACGCCGTTTTTTGCTCTCTCTGATCCCGTTTGTACTTTCACGCGATTATGTGGGGTTTGATTTTTCACCTCAAAAATTCGTCAAACAAGGTTTCATCGTTTACGAAATCTTGACTCTCTTCAATTGTTTTTACACTTTTTCATAGACCTTTAGCGCTCTGAGACTCCTCTGGTGACAAGAGAGGACGTATTACCCGTTTAGAATGTGTATTGTCGGCGTACAGTGAGGCTTAAGGCGGCTGGTATGACCTTCCAAAGAAGGTGAGGTGGCGAAGGTTCCAAATGATTCGTTATTAAAAGCAAGCGTTCAACAAATAACTAAAGCGCTACACAGCCTTACTCCCCTTGATCATCCCATCGTGTTGGCCACCACGGGGCATTCATGACTGCAGGAACAGCTTCCCAAACCTACCTTGCCAGCCATCGACTTCGTGTTCACCTAAGGTGATATGTGACCGCAGGGTCATATTATCATCTTGGCAGTTGCACTGGATCTTGGGGCGTTTTTCGACTTGGGAGGGGGAGGCGAGGGGAGAAAAGATAAGGAGGTATTCTGGCCATCTCTGGTGCCCGTCGTTACTTGCAAAAACCCTGGTCTTAAAGCACCACCGACTAGCAAGGGACATGGGGCAACATAGTAAATTGAGACTATTTTGTGTTTCTTTCCCCTTACCACGTTCACACTGTCTAGCCATATCCATCTGGGCTCCACCGCGATGGTGATGAAGCAGAGAAAGAAGCATGTTCAATTAACTTCACCATCGACAGCGTTCTCCAATTATTTGCGAATGCTGTTGTGTCATGTGTTAATAACGATCCTGGAGAATACGGGTTGAGCTGTTCAGTGAAGTAAATAGTACTTTTAAGACACTCACAGCAGGATTAACTTTCCAACAGCAGATCAAAGCAAGGTAGTTGTTTTTTTGGATAGGATCTACCCTTTGCTGTTCCAAGTGTGGCGTTCTAAGACTTTCACTAAGACATAAAGTTAGAAATCGTATTTTAAGAGCACATTAGGGCTTGGGTACTGTTAAGTTGGCCTTAAGGACAAGCCGCCCGACGAGGAGGGTGCAATGGTAGGGCATCCAGGTTACTTGTTACCGAGTCGTACAATTAGAGCACTGCTGTGCTCTTCCAATCAGTCAAACCGATTAGAAATACTGGAGAGGCTTTCAAAGTTTCCCACGCATTAGCACAGTTCCGGTTTAATCAGCGATTTGACGTGCTTGAGCTTGACTTGCAACCCTTTTTGTCCGACAAGCAGGTTGCTCTTACAGTCGAGTAAGTTATAATTACCGAGCTGGAGGTAGTTGTGAACTGCGCATCTATGCCATATGAGTGAGACAAAGCTTTTGACTGGATTTGTGAAGGTAAGACATGGCGACCGGGTGAATGACAAGGAGGCTGGCTGCCTGTGTTTGTAAACTGAGCCGGATGGGCGCCTATGCAAACGGAGGTCTTTGCTCACTCGCTCTTGGCATGTCGCCCGTTGGCATTTTAGTGGCATGTGTGGCTTTCTCAAAGGCGAAAGGCAAAATCTGAGGCAGTGGAAAACGTATTAAAGAGTGTTTTAGCTCCTCTTCGCAGACTTCTCTACATTTTGAATGGAATTCTATCCATTCATCAGTTGCTCAAATTCAATTTCGATTACTTTACATAAGGCTTTTTAATTGCTTAAGTATTTTGACTTTACAGAGGGGTGGTATTTGTGGTTGGAATTGCGCGATTTTATTTCCTCCATTAACTGTATTTTTGTATTTCAATTCTTTCAAAGCTCCTTTCATACATGGACACCGAGTTGTTGTTTGGTTTGGGCTTCGAGTGCTTCGCCAAGTTCTTAATTTGTGTGGATCAAAATGTTTGAAATTTGATGCAAATTTTACAGGTGCTGCTGATATGCACTTAGGCAATAAAAAAGGCTGTTTTTGGCACTCGACCCCCAGGTACAACTTTCGCAGAACTCATAAATTTTTGTAATCTTAATTTGCGATACGAATCTGAACCGGATTAGTGCATTACCAGCCATTTTCTGCCCATCGTCACCCTAAGGAGGTTTAACATGGAGGTAGGCATAGCAAACAATACGATATCAACTTGACTTTGAAGCCAAATGGAGAATTTAAGTGGTCTGCATGGCCATATCTATGCAATTGTTGTCCCTCTGCTAAGTAGGTGTTATTCCTGTTCTTGTTGATGTCTCCTGAAAGCTCGAATGCTGAAAAAACATATTTGCCATCCCACAGTAAATTGCCTCTGCTATGCTCTTCGTAGCACTCTATAACTGGGTGATCATTTTTGGCTCAAGTAATCCCCAAAATAACAGGCAAAGCCGGCATGTCTTTCTACTTCTTTCATAACCTCTGTCCGCTCATTCAATTGGGAGAAGTTATAGGCTCTGTGGGTCTCACGAAAACTTTATTATAACACAGAAGGGTCGAGAAGTTGTGTGGTTGATTGACGACTACCTGTTTCACGATCATGGGCTTGTTTTCTTCCAGCTCAGTCCTTCTATCAACCATAAACCCACTTTTTGGTCTTTTGACCTTCCTCTGCACAGGCGTCTGCACTCGAGAGCCACCCTACTACATAGTGACGGAGTACATGCCTCATGGGAATCTGCTTAATTACCTGCGTCAACGAAGTCCTGGTGAACTCACTCCGCCCATCCTTCTCTACATGGCTGTTCAAATCGCCTCTGGCATGGCCTACCTGGAAGCCAACAATTTTATTCACCGGTTAGTGATCCTTTGTTGGCGACAATTTTTGCCTCCATATCTGCGGTTGGAGCTCGCCATGCTTAATGCCTGATTGTAGGGGAGTGAAATGTGGTCTTAAATCTGGTAGCCTGAGTTTGGATGTACGGCGGATTTGGGGTCATTGTCACTTCGCCTTTTTATCATCGTTACTTCCACTTTAGTCTCAAGTGTCTTCAATGCTTCCTGGTTTTATAGACTTTTTGCTTTGAAATTAGTGATTTGAATGAGTAAAAGGCGTTTGCGAATTTAAACACACCAAGTCCAACGTTACTATTCAATTTAATCCTTAAATGTATAAACAGTAGTTGATAGCGAGTCTCAAAATAATGTTCTATTTCCTTTATTTTGCAATTTAATTTTTTTAAAATGCTTTCGAAAGTAGTATATGAGTCGAGTAGGTTGCGAGACCAAACCTAGGGCCACTTTTCAACAGGTCTCACTCTTGGCCCGCCCAAAGACCAGCAATGCTGTAGTATACCGGGTTAGTGCATACATTACCTCGGTTGAAGGTATGGTGTCTACCGGTCTGGAAGCAGCTATTAACGAACATGTAGAGGGAAAGGAGAGCCATCGAGTCAGAGTGGAGTGGTAGGAACGCTGAACCAGGGTAGTTCAGAGTGGTTCTTGTAGCCTCCGGTGTTTGAATCGAGCCATCCCTAGTGGATTGCAAAAGCGAAGGGCGATTTGCTCGTCAGGCTTAGTACGAGCTTTCTCAACAAACAAAAAATACTCTTCAGGGATATCACTTCAGCTTGCGACTAAGACAACGAAGACAGCAGGCATCTTTAAATATTACATGTTTGGAAAAAAAAAACGGTTTCAGATTAAAAGTTGGTGTTCCTTATTTTGTAGAACAGTTGGCGCATTCCGTACTGCGAATCCAAAAGTTTAAGAGGGAGCAAAAATGCCTTTTGCTACCAGAGTGGATGCGAAATGATTTGTATGATTCAAACAGACACTAACATTTTGGGGCCCACTGAGACTTCCCCAAGGGCAGACTACGCTTTGGTGTCATGCAATGAGTCTCAGGACTCTTGGCGTGCTACATAGGCTGGGTCGTCTGGTGCAGTCATTCAAAGTGGTTCGTTATCAGAGATGCGGGTTAATCAAAGAATCGACTGCAATTTCATTCCAGCTTGTGTTTGTCGAACCATTTTTTTGGGCTTAAATTTTGCTTGGAGCAAAATTTTTGTGAGAATATGTGGCGACGCGTTTTAAATGCCCGAAAATTAGTACTTCTGCATCCACATCCTCATTATTAGGAAATGCGCAGAAAAGTTGCCATAGCCTTTGGCGGATTGTTTAATTTCTCCTCTTCCTCCCCCTTCTTGGTTATCGGAACCTTTGCTCTCCCTTTCATCAATCAGGCTTACCTTCTTTGCGTCTGGGTGTGTTTACAAAAACATACGAACCGGGGAGAAGGAGCTGATTCACTGACGGTATTCCCTCTGTAGGTGTGTACACCGCTTGGTCACTGCCTGTTTCAGCCAGCATAACACCGTGCCTAACAGTTGTTGCACCTCAACCACAACCTATTCAGCCATGCTGGCGAACGGATTGCCCTGCCTTGCCTTGCATGTTTTCTTGCATTTCCCCTCCTTTCCTCTCTCCCACCGTTGCAACATGGGCGTTACTCACACCCTCTTTTCCAGTTCCAACCTTTCGGACAAAATTATTTTCCCCTCGAGGCTAAACAGTTGCCTCCAAAACCGTTGCTACTCTCCGCTTTGGTTGCGACTCAGGTCATGTCTATCGTCCGCCATGTGACTCATTTTGGGAATTTTTACGCTTTCGATGTAATTTAGCACCAAAAAATGTCCCTCAAAATCGTTTTGAAGGCTACTAGGAAGTAGGAGGATTTGTTGAAAGCACCGTTGCTGACAACGCGTATTCGCTATTTTGAGGATTTTCGCAGTTATTTTCGAAATGCTGGAGGCGAGAGGAGAGACAGAGTCGAAGTTTGTGCTCCGCACCTACTTGTGTCCGGCGGTTTGATTATTTTTTAAGCAATCTAACAATCTAACTTAACCGAAACGCGCTCTGTTATGCTCCTTTTGCGGACAACTGATGTGTGTGTGTTTGGCGACATGATTTATTCCAGTCGATCAAGGCAATAAGGTTACTTATTGTAGGGTTGAAAACGATGTTGGTGACATAGCAGTTGCCACGCGACTTGGTTGTTCGGCTGAAAACTGAGAATCACAAGAACTAGTGGACATGTTTTTCAATGGTGGAAGTGCTTGGCAGTGGGTCTGTCTCTGACTACCGGAGGCGGAATCCACATCTGCATGGATGGAAAAGCGCTTTTCAAGGGAATCGAAGGTGGTGTAGGTGATTATTTACAATGTCTTATCATTTCAAAATTGGGTCTGAAAAAGTGGTGCGGTGAGAAGAAAGTGAAGTAGCCATTTTTCATTGTTAAACTTGTTATGTGGCGGTTTCTTGTCGGTAAGTCATTTGATGTTGTATTTATGCAAAAGAGTTATCATTGCTGGATTAGGTCTACCCAGAAAAGGAAGGCTCAAAAGCATCAACTACTTGTGCATTAAGGGTTGCAGCACATGTGCTCACGCTGGAGACATTAAGTCTCCAGCGGAGCGTTCAACCAGCGAAGTCGAAAGCTCTTGTCTCCAGTGCGATGGACGTAGAGGCTTATGCATGTTCAGCTATTCGAACATTATTACCAGGCGGTCATTCCACAATCTCTGAGTGCACCTTTCGAATTAGTTCATGTAAAGATATTTTGTGGTAGTTTTGGGTGCAGCCGAGTACCTAAGCATTTTGAATCATTTGACTACTTCCATTGCAGAAACGGCGGAAGTGGAATCGGGGTAGGAAGTTACTCCATCATATGTTGTGGACTAACTGATCTTTCACAAGTGGAGAGACTCTCTTTAACAATTTCTACCAAAGTAAGAATTGTGGAAGTCGAAGACTAATGTTTTTGCTAGGTAGTGGAGGTGGATTTTTGGAGCCTTTTGACGGAGTTCTCTTCGGCTCCTATTGCGTATTCTTTTTAGTCGAAAGAAAGGACATACTGAGTGATTACTTAATATCACTCAGAAGAAATTTTACTAAATATCTCTTATTATTGTCGAATTTACTGCTTTCCAGTAGGTTGTTGATGTATTTGTTTTGCTAAATAGAAACAACCTTTGAAGTCCTGGCTGCCTCCTCCCCCCCGCCCCCTTACTAATTCCACTTTCTAACATCCACAGGGCTCATTACGATCTTCTAAAGTAAGAGAAATCTTGTTCCTAACAATGCTTTATTCTAAGAATTGGATTTGATCGCGGAATTTGTACCTCAAAATGGTCATTTCTAACCTCATTCCCAAATTCATAGGGCATCACTCTTCAGCCGTACTTGGTAGGCGCTTTGTGTGACTGGCAACAGCCATCTCCACTGTCGGCCTTGATAAATTAAGACAAGTGCACTGTCTGTCAGTACTGAACTGTTAAATTGTGCGTCGATTTCTCTTTTGTCCTTCAAGGCCAGCACTGCAGTTGCACTATTTGGCCGACTGGGGAAGGTTCCTGAGGCAATCTTTGGATGTCCCATTCGTCTTTTTCAGTGCCCCGAGTCTTTCTTGAATGGGGAAGATGCATTATCGTGGTGCTAGGGCGGAAATATAAACAAGAGATTAAAGTTATTTCAATTCCTCTCCCCCTGAAAATTTTCTTCATCACTCCTCTTGTCTATCCCTTCGTTTTTGCTACAAAGTAGTGTTGCGTTAAGAACATCGGCCGCGAGTCAATCTTCGCTGGTCATCCACTGGGCACTGATGGAGAGGGCCTCTTTAATAATCATAGCAAATCGTAAGAATGCCAACAAGAAAGTAAAATAGAACCGAGATCAACTTAGCACCACTCATTTTTACGTTCAGTTATCTCCCTCCTATTAGCCCCATCCGTCTGAGTTGCATCCTCTCCAAAGGAATACGAAGAAAATATCGCGTATTCGTCAACATGACATCGTCATCGAGGTACCGTGGACACCATGATAGACTTTGCTTCTTTGTGGCTCTTCCAAAACCTTGGAGCTCAGATTTCAGTGATATAAATCGGAGTAAACGTTCTGTAGGATTGGATCCGCTCTCCAATGTCATCAATACAGTGCTTCAGGTCTTTCCAGCACACAAATGAAGGCACAGTACTGGGGCCAAAATGTGTGGTGTCGATGCAAGGATGAGATGAGGAGCAGAGGTCATGTCGCCCAGCGGAAGTACAGTGGCGAAGAGTTAAGCAAGAAAACCAAGTCTTACGCGTGGTTTGGGTCTGTCTGCAAGCATTAGTTTCTAGTTTTGAAAGTTATTCTGTTCTTTGATCAACTTGACTTCTGAAGTTAGTCATTCCTTCTGGAAATAGTCTAACAAAAGATTTATGGTTATTTTATGCAAGAACTCTTCGGGATTTGCAAATTACTAGGTCTTCTTTTCAAAAATTAACGTTTTATGCAGCTACGTGTGAGAGTTTGTGACCTTTGCATGATCAGCAGACCAAAAAAGGAGAAACAAAAACTTTTTACTCGATTAGGGGGGTGGGAGGAAAGGGGGATGAGAGAGAGTGTGTTGTAACAGGGCACTTTTTCGCGGCCTTGTTTTAATTAATGTCATCGGTTGTTGCTTCTGTAGGTGAATCAGTTGCTCCATTCGATGGAGCAAAACGGACAAAAGCTGTTATTTTACGTCCCCAACTAAACCGATCTTTGGGTAATTTTTCATTGGTTCGTTTTGATTTCGGTATCTCATTTCGCATCCGTAATGTTGGAATTTTGGGAAGAAGTTTGGCTGCTTAACTCCTGCAGACTGTTCTTTTGGGTGGAGCATGTAAGCAGGCTTTAGATCCTCTCCTGTAAATGCAAGTCACTGGGCTTACCACTTAGGTTTACCTATGCCTCTCTCCGCTCTCTGTTGCCTCGACAGCCAGACTTTGACGCAGTTATTTCAATTGCTGTCGAAAATAGCCATCATGAAATGAATAGAGTGGCCACCTTTGTAATTAGCGCTTTTTTCCTACTAATGACAAGAGCTCATCCCCTAGCTGGTCCTTCTAATGGCATTCTGTGATATTATTGGCCTCCTGCGTAATGCCTAGTCTCCTCAGGTTTTCGTTCTAACAGCAGTATTGTTGTCTCAAACTGCGCAACTGTTTTGGAGTGTTGGCAGAACTCCTGCCATTGATTCATGCGGACTTACTAACCCCGCCGAGCGCTTGGCGTTGTGATTGTGGAACAGTTGTGGTTCCAACACGTTTTAAAACTCAACTACGGACATGGGCAGTTTAATTTTGCATTTTTTTTGACTTACAGTGCATCTAATTAATCTCAATGCTTATTGCTTCTCTTATCTGATTTGGGCTACTTTTCCTATCAACCGCCTTAGTGTGCAGAAATGAACAGAGACATGGTCATTTATTCCATTAATGGCGCTTGTTTTTTTGCCTCTCCTTAATCCTCATTACAAAGTAATTTGCACTGAGCATCGCTTGGATTTTCCGAAGCAAGGAGGTTTCAGTGTTTTGGTAGGACGCAGACCTGAACTTTAAATGGCAATATCATTATCTCTTTTTTGGCATTTCGCCTCAATAAAGTATGAATCGTTTTTTTTATTGGTCTCTTCCATTTTTTGACATGTTTCAAGGTCAATGAATATCTAACCAACTCCCTAGCCCCTCCCTCCTATAAGTGGTTGCTATCCGGATTAAAGTAGTTCTTTGAAAATGCCCTTAACTATTGCATAGTTACTTTGTGTTTCATCTGGACCGTTGTAGTTACATCCTACTATCGCAATTCCAAGACGCAAAGACTTACTCCTCCTCTCCCCGCAGTGGAGGTGTGAAATTGCGCTGCCTCTTATTATTTGTGCACATCAATCCCGGTTTCTTGCTGCGCGCCTTCACACTGTCCTCGGTTGGTCCTGTCTCCTGCCTACCCAGAAGCAGTTCCCGATATTTCTTACTGTCCAATTATCTGTGGCTACTGATGTTAGTTTTGGGATCCTGTTTTACTTCTGTGCTCATAGTCGGTCGCTTGATTATTCGCCACCATGGATAGGGAACATAATACCCTGGCAGCGTATGCAATGCGGCGGCGAATTATGGTCAGGAGGAAGGTCACTAGCCTGATCTGAAGTTCACAAAGGCAGCGCCTTAAGTATTCTTAGGATCAAAATGAAAAGTTAAATAGACTGACAAAGCACTCCGTGCACTTTAACTCCTCAGTCCACGTTTTTCGCCGTATGTTAAAGGCATTTGAAGCATATTTTAGTGAACTCAGAGATTCAATCTTCAATTGACATCGTCTGTTTTGACGCACACTAAAAAGATACTATCACATTTTTTTGAATAAACTATTCGTTGCCTTTAATTCTGTACAACACGACCCTTGTCTACTGTCTCGTGCTTTGGACCCTAAAAAGCCATTCTGCGACAATCCTTTTTGACCATTTTTTGCCCAATGTCCAATAGTCATCGCTATTTATAACCCTCTCACTTCATCGTTTCCTTGTTTAAGGAGCACATCATTTTAAGCAAAGCTGCAGCTACCGAGTTCACTCTTTTGTTAACACCTGTGCGCGACCTCCATTCTACCTTGTTCATGGCCTCTTAGGTTGTCATTGTTTTAACTACCCTTCCAGATGGCCTGAAGTCTTATCAGTGTGCCATTCTTCTATCCAAGCCATGCTACCGTTGGGAGCAGCCAATCCTCTCCTCTCCCTCCCCATTTAACCGAATCAGGCATACCATCGTCCCCTTAAGTTGCATTTTTGGTTTCATGAAGTGTGCTTTTGCAACTGTTTTCATTAACTTTTGCATCGTCGTTATCTAAACAAACAGGGGAAGCTGCCACTGTCGCCAATTTTGATTTATTTGACTTGCTGTGGCTGTAGTGGGTGTTTGACGAGTTGGATAGATTGGCTAGTCGTGCTGCTCTTTTTGGTCTCTCATTTGAATGTTATACTTAAAATTGTTATTTACTCTTCCCAGTTTAGCCGCATGCGCGAGATATTATCGTACCGCCCAAAACTCCTCTGTAATGATAGGTATTGCTCACTCTCTTGTTGTTTTGTAGTGAGTTAGCTAATTAATGCACTGTGGGACTGACTACTGCCTCTTTTATCTTTTGATTGGCAAGCGTTTTGTGACTTGGTTATTGCTGCTCCTATCAGATTTGATCTACTTTTGGACCATTTATGCTTGAGGCAGGAGAGTTTATGAGTGCCAACGAGGGGCAAATGAAAATGTAGTCACTTGCTTTGCTAGCATCATTATAAGTTGCACAAATTCGCACTGAGTCACTTGTGAGAACTCCAGAAATCTGCTAAAGTACACGCCTAAATGTACTTCGCTGTCACAGGTTTGCGTACCTAAAAATCAATTGCAATACATGATTTGTTAGGTCCAAGGATTGGCTCTACTCGTAAGGTGGTGGTACCGAATGAGGATTGTGCTGGGGTTCAGACACCACCTTTGCTCTTTTCTCAGAAAGTACGAAGAGATTGTGTGTACTGGGGATACGGGAATGGCATTCCATCACAAATGTTATGAAAAGGTTAAGCTAGATCTGTGCATCTCGTGTGCATACTCTTTTGAAAGGTGTGATGTCTCTCGCTGACACCTTGGTCGAATCAGAATTGAAGCAGTGGTGCGGGAGCGGACACAGTCACTTTGTCAAAACAAGTCAGAGACGTTGAAAACAATGTCTGTTTCAGCGGACATTTGTGCAGTGAGCCCCATTTGAACCAGGGTACTGGCGCCATCTCAGAATTCCAACTCTGTGTTCTCTTTGGTGGCTTTGAGGTGTTCGCCTTTACATAAGTGCATCCCCGCGTCCTGTCGACCAATCGAACAAAAGTAGCAATGAAAGTTTAAATCACTGAGCGTTGCAAATTTTTTTTTTTCAGAGGCAAACGCAAAGATGAAACTTAGTGAGCCTTTTTAAAACATTGAAATGACTGGATTTTTCCAAGGCTAAACAGAAGGGGTGTAGAAGTAGCGTCCTGCAACTTTTTACAGACTCGCAGGCGCATAGTTCCGCAGTACTTCAGCTAAACTAGTTGAGATCAGAGCCTTTGGCATAAATAGGAGGCCAACTCATCCAGACAAGGTGATACAGCTACATAAGTGACCGTAGTTGATACCGACAATCAAACAATCATTTCAGTAAGCATCTTAAGTGGTAAATAATTTCACCTTGCTATGGAGGGTGTCAGTTCAATAGTGAAGTCATCAAGTCTAAAGTCTCGTTTAGGGTGTTTTTGACCGAAGCTAAAGTAGCCATGGTGTTCGTTGCCGACGCCCACATGACTTATTGCCTCATTCGGCCGAATCCATTTTGCGGTGTGACGCTTGACTCTCGTCTCCAATGCCACTGTGCCATTTGAGGTAAATTGGGAAGTTGGAGACCGTTGTCAAAACATGAATACGTTATGCACCTCATTTTCCTTATAACACAGGATGTGAGAATTGCTTTTTTTCAACTCTCAGACAACTTAAGAGGTTCACGTTAACTCCTCATAGCTCCAGCTTTGCCCTACGGATGCCGTCATTCTAAACTCCTGTTTACTTTCGTAATTACTCTTTTCGAAATTGCTTTACTTTGCTGAAGGTCAGCGCTTTATCCAACTTCTAGAAGACCCTAGGCGGGCTGCTTGTTGTGTGGTAGACCTGCCCTATGGCCAGGACAGTGAGTGAGGTGGCTGAACTGGAAGCAGCCTAGCGGTGACAAACCAATGCATCCACCTTGAAGTGGGAGTTGTATTTACCATCGTTGCACGCATTTTAAACTCTCTGGCCTTTTGTGTGATTCTTTTATCAAGACATGCTTCCTTATTACTATTATTATCATCACCACTTTTTACTTGACGGACCCAGAGTCATAATAGCCGTTAATTATTATTCTCTTACTAAAAAAAACTACTAACAGTCAAAATATCCATGTCTGCGCGAATTATTTGAAGTTAGCTATTGCTCCTCCCAGTTGGCAGACTTTCTTGCCAATATGGGGAAGGCTGATATTTACCCTAACCGCCAAGATGGAAGCGTTGGTCTATGACGGTCGGTGCGTTGGAATGCAGAATAGTGTTTTCTGAGGGTGGCATTGTTTGTAATGAATCATGTCAGACTGAATGCTGGAGTCTCGTTGGTTTTTGCCAATTTTCCCCATTTCGAGGTCTGTATCGTGGACAGTGATGGTGTGGTGTTGGGCTTGAATCAGTTCAAATGCTGGGTACGGGGATGGGGATGGCATTTCCGTGACGCCGGTCTGTTCACTCTCCCACACTTCGGCTTCGCATATTGCCGCCTCCGCTACCAGTCTTGCTAACCCTCTTTACGCTTACAACGAAGCGGCTTCCAACTTTGGTCAGCAAATGGGGCAGCTGTTGTGACTGAATATAAATGTTCTGAAACATCCAATTGAAGGGTCAAAATAGCCTTTCAACGTTGAGTTATGAAGCATTCCTGGGGATAAGTCGAGATTTTTTTCATCTCCTTCTGGACAGCGATCTGGCGGCGCGAAACTGTCTGGTGGGCGATCAGTACACCATCAAGGTGGCTGACTTTGGTTTGGCACGCTACATGCAACTGCATGAGGACACCTACACCGCTCGTAATGGGGCCAAATTTCCCATCAAATGGACCGCTCCCGAGGGGCTCGCCTACTTCCGCTTCTCCTCAAAGTGAGTCTTCCTCTACTCACATAAGTTGGCTTTTAAGTCTGAAGTTTACTAGTTTATTGCTCAAGTTGTGATATTATTGGCGTCGAATGAGTTTATAACTGACAAATTACACCGTTTTCTCGTCATTTATGAGGTACTCAGTGGAAGTATGGTCGTCCATCAGAAAAGTTTTCA